TTGTTTTTCTTAATGTAGTTGCGCTTTGCTTTATGTAGTTTTGTTTTTCTTAATGTAGTTGCGCTTTGCTTTATGTAGTTGCGATTTCCTTAATGTAGTTGCGCTTTTAGATTTGTAGTTGCAGTTTGCACTTCAGGGCCAACGTAGAAAAACCCTCTCAACACACTGTTCTCGCGCTCAGTTTCATCTCTGCGCGTACTTTGATCCGTGTCTGCTCGCGCTCTACCTGCTCTCTCCGCGCTCAATACCAGCTTCGTCCAATGAAAGCATTCATTCAAAATACTACATCCGGTTACTGATCACTGATTCTTTTACCCGATTTAAAAATAAATTCTGGAACTAAACAAAACACTATTCCTAATATTGAAATATTTTGAAGCATCCATAAAAAAAATTTACATATCCACAATATTTTTTAATCTATATATTGTTGAACCATACTTGAATCTGAAATATCATCCTTATTTTTCTTTTAAAACAGCACATTTAAATCCATGTCAATAGCAGGCAAAAGAGATGGATGGGGCAATGATCTAATAACTGTTTTACTGAAGTTTATTTGAGATAATTCAAGATATTTTATAGTACTATCTTCTGTCCATCAAATGGTTAGGATTGTTGACCAAATAACTGCAAGAGTTGTTTGATTTTCCTGATTGTATTTTTTTTTTCTTTTCATTTAACCGGAAGAATGAATGCTTTCATTGGAACGAATGCTTTCATTGGATGAAAAGAAGCTGAGCGTGATTGGCTGATGGTATGGTTCATTTACATATATTGTTGAAGTCGCGAGCGCAGAGAGTCGAGCTGTTTGTGCTGGTTTGTGCAGCAAAAATTTTCGTTTGTGCCGATTTCATTTTAAAGATATAAAGAGATGTTTCTAGAGGTCATCAAAGGTCAACCAGCCCCCCCTCTTTCTTCAAATCTTCAAATCCATCCAGCACAAACGGAGCTGAGTTAATTGACACCTATTTTGTCTGATTTGAATAAGGTGGGGGGGCTGGTTGACCTTTGATGACCTCTAGATAAATTTCTTTATATCTTTAAAACGATAGCGGCACATATGAAAAAAAAAAAAAGTACGAGCTGTGTAGGCACTGGTGCGGCTCTGAATCATCCTCAGAGGAATCTTCGGGAATTTCTGCCAAAACAAAGCAGGCGACCAAGCTAAATTAGGCTTCCTGGTTTGTGATAAATACGACAAAGCGTCCAAGCGGTACAAGGACATTACTCATCATGTAACATGCTTCATAACAAATGATATGCTGCCGTTGTCTACTGTTGAAAAACCTGGGTTCAAACAGCGGCTCGCCACTCTGGATCCACGATACGAAATTCCGGACCAAAAGTTTTTCTCAAAACACTGTCAGTATTTAATAAGATAACTTAGGTCTCTTAAGTTATTTTTCTTTAAAACAATTCTGGTTAGATTTAATTGGAAGTCTGTGTTTGTGTTCTTTATTAAAATTAAATCATTTAGCAATATCATAAAATGTCCAGGTAGAGCTGCACATAAAATATGGTTTCAAATCTTTTCAATAATTATCGATATCGATCAATATGCATTTTTTTTTTCTATTGATAAGCTTTTTTCTATATCGTCCAGCCCTAATCTATATATATATCTACATATAGATTTATCTAGATATACTTTCATGCCTTTTTCGATAATCCTGAGATATATCTTTATATATATGTCTTTTGGGCTTTCTTAGGCTGCCAATTACTTTCTTGATGAAGTTGATGAAATGTGAAGTACGAGCAGCAGTCACATACGCGGTCCATTCTCGATCGAAATTCAACGAAATTCTTAGGCAAAGAAAGGCAAGGAAACATTTACAAAACACTACTACATAAATGGAAGAGGGATTGTTCTATATAGCAGGCATCCCCAAACTCGGTCCTAAAGGCCCCCTGTCCTGCAGGTTTTAGAGGTTTTCTTGCTCCAGCACAGCTGATTTTAATTGAAAGCTGATTAAGAGGCTTTTGGTCTACTGCAATCATTATAACCAGCTGTGCTGAAGCAGACAAAACTCTAAAACCTGCAGGACAGGGGGCCTTGAGGACCGAGTTTGGGGATGCCTACAGTATGTTGACATAAGTTATAAATCAGGCAAAGAGCCATGATACAGTAGCCTGACGTAGTCCTACTCAATTCTAGTCAGAATATGAGTCTGATACTGCTCCATAGAGCTGTGATTATGGGGCGTGTTTCGAACGAACCAGGGAAAAAAAAGCCTCTGCACTCAATTGGATAGACCTACAACCAATAAGAGCAACGGAGTGTGTGACGTATAGTTGTTGTCAACAAAAATCAAAGCGTGCAGTTGCACGCCTAGAATAAGAAGATGAGCCTTGATCGCGTTTCTCTGTTCTTTTAAAATTAATTTGCTGTCGATATCTTCTAGAACAGACATAATAGCAGAATCTACACACCTCAACTCTCCGGCGGCAGCCATTGTTGTTGTCACCTAAGCGCGCTTTGGTCACGTGGTTGATGACGTTACTGTTGATTATCTGTCCATCATCGTATAAAGCCCGCCCTGACAATTTGATTGGCCCGCCAGCTATTGTGCGAGCATACTCGCGCTACTGTTTAGCAATGCCAGACCGGACTTCCCGACCTCAAACGTTCAATCCCTGAAGTGTATCTATATACACTTCAGGGATTGTATTACATAGGAATTACTGTACCTTGACATAAGTAATCAATCAGGCAAAGAGCCCCTGTTATGGCTATTCCTTGCAAGCCATGGATGAGGACACGTTTACCAGCATATTGCAGATATTTTTTAGCAGTCTGTCCCCAACTTGTAGGCTCAACTTGCTTTACAGTTTGAGAATGTTTTTCAGCTGAAGATTTAGGCTGCTCAGATTCCCCAGGTAAAGTTTCTGTTTGAGTCGATTGGTATGCTTTATGAGCCAAGTCTTGTGTTACGCTCAGATACATATTTACAGCAGAATCTTCCCTTTCACATTCTATATCCTCTTGTTCTTTCTTCAGGTATTTATTCGTATCTGTAAGACCCTCCATTTTCCTGTAAAGCTCCTCAATCGTATTTTGGTATTCTTCTATCTGGGAATTTTGCCTTACATTATTTTCAGAAAGCTCTAGATTCTCAAATCGAAGGTATTCATTTTCCTGCTCATATCCTTTATATTTTTCTATCAGAGCTTTTTGTGTTTCTATTAACTTGTCCTTGACCAAAGATTCTTGATGAAGCTGCTGCATTCTATTTTGAAGATTTGTATATTCTTGGTCCTGATCTCTTATCTTGGATTTCAGTGAAATTATAACATCCTTTTTTTCATCAGTCTTTTCAGTTAAATAAGAGTTGCGTTCCAATAATGCTTCATTATCTTTCAACGTCTCTGTCTGTTGTTGTATCTTACGTCTCAAGTCAACGTTTTCTTGCTGGAGTTGTTCGGTTTCCTGATGATATGTTTCTTCCAAATCTACCAACTCATCCTCAAGAAAGTAATATCTTTCTTTCAGCTTTTTAATCTGATTTAGAAAACTTTCATGCCCTTTTCGAAAATCCATCTTTTTGGCTTTCTTAGGCTGCTGTTTACTCTCTTGATGAAGAAGCAGGAATGTGGCCTGCTCAAATGTCTAGAGCCGTATATTCACAACCTATGCCCGAGACAGGCAAGTGGAATGTGACGTCATAGTGACGTGTAAAAGGCTTCGTGGGAAAACACCTATGGGCGTTTCTAAATGCGTCCTCGCCCCGCCCTCTTGAGTCAGACTCCCTTCTTGAGATTGACAGCTGTCCCAGCATGCACTGCGGCTGCAGCAGCTTTCAATGGCGCGCTCCATTGAAAGTTAAAAGTTCTCGTTTCTTTTGCTGTTGTTCAATAAAAGTACGTTTTAAGATAATTTGAGGCGAGAATATTATAGTTTAAAACGTCACTATATGGTCCATTTACCGATTTAATCCGTAATAATAAAAAAAAAAAAAAGATTTCCGAAGTTGAGAGGACCTCCGAGGGTAGCGGCAGGCAGGGCTATCACCGCAGCTCGTCTGCAGCAGCCCTCTCTAGGCGTAGCCGTGTGTGAAGGACCACTGGCTCTGATGGCGATATTTTTTGTTTTATTTGGCAAAATGTTTGATGAATGCTAATTTCAGATCTCCATAACAGAGTTACTGCTGGTCAAAATGATTATTTCATATATCAAAAATGAATATAACATTACAGATATCTAGAAATACAATTCATGACAACTAAAATATATTTCTGCTAGTGCAAATATAATTACAGATATCAACTACTTATTTTATGACTAGTTAAGTTAGAATTCCAGATATGGAATATATATATTCAGTCAAGCTAATAAATGTCAAAAGGGCCACTTAAAATTTGTGAAGATTTCTAGGTATCTAAAAGTTTATTCATACTATTACAAATATATTTTTGGCAGCCTGAAATGTAATTTTTGCCAACAAAAATGTATTTTAGTATATCTATATGTACATTTCTGACTAGTAGGAATGGATATTTGACTAGCAAGAATGTTATTTTAGTTTAGTTATTTTAGTTATTTTAATTTATTTTAGTTATTTAATATTTATGCTGCGTGCTCCAGTTCTCCTTCTCAAGAACCCACTAGGACCATAGACATTACGGACAGCTACGTCTCTTTTCATTTGCTATGACAAGAGACGGCTTCATCCCTCTGTTGTTATGGGAACACGGTGACGCCATATGAGTATGGCTGTAGCTCTGTGGTGCAGGTTGACATAACATTTATCCCTTTCTCAAAAATAAATACATGCAGTCAAATAAAACTCTTCCAAATAGGACTTTCCCTTTAGGGGTTAATATTTTAATTTTCCTAACTTGTGATTTTCTGTCAGCGTGACAAACAGCGGAACTCGAATTTGAAAGCAGTTGTTTCCTCCGCATTTAGTTCACGGTTACACCACACCGCGAGCCTGCGCTAAAGCAGACTTGCAACTCAAGGGCTCAAGTGTCCACTCGCCTTAAGAATCTATTTTATTTTTTTGACCGGTTTATTTTCTATCTGTCAGCATGAGTGAGGAGGAGAAATGGCCCGAAATAGAGAAAGCAGCGGCAGAGAAGAGACGTGAGCTGGTTTTACAGGGCAGAGCTATAAATGAGAGGATTTCCTCCAGCGGGGGGCTTCCCTCCTCTCTTTATTCCCTCCGTCTACTTAATTATCTGGAAGTTAGCCAATGTCCGAGTTTGGCAGAGATCCAAGAGGGAATCCAACACCTGACCAACCTCCAGAGCCTCATCCTATGCAGGAACAAGCTGACGTCCGTCCCAGATGTGATCGGCATCCTGACGTCCCTGAAGGTCCTGGATCTGTCGGCCAACGGCCTGAAAGGTTTGCCGGAGGGGATCACCCAGTTAAAGGAACTGAATACTCTAAATGTAAGCTGCAACTGCTTGGAGGCTCTTCCTGATGGGCTGAGTCAGTGCACCAAGCTGGCGACCATCAATGTCTCAAAGAACCAGCTCACTGCTTTGCCCCCTGACCTCTTCTCTGAGCGGCTGGATCTGCTCAGCACCCTGGTGGCTTCTGATAACTCAATCCACCAGCTGAGTGGGGAGATTTACAAGCTATCAGCTCTGAAGGTAGATTTTTTTTAAACTCTGTTTTTTTTTTTTTTTTGGGACGCTGCAAAAATAATTTAAAATTGATCAAAAGTTTCTTAAAATAAGTTTACTTGACTTTAGAATAGAATAAATCCCTTTATTGTCCCACAATGGGGAAAAAACTGGAGTTCAAGGAGACAGAAGCAGAGATACAAAAAGGATAACCTGAGCCACTCTAACTATAAGCTTTATCAAAAAGGAAAGTTTTAAGCCTAGCCTTAAAAGTCTGCCTCATGGACTAAAACTGGTAGTTGGTTCCACAGGAGAGGAGCCTGATAACTAAAAGATCTGCCTCCCATTCTATTTTTAGAAATTCTAGGAACCACTAGTAAACCTGCAGATTGAGAGCGAAGTGCTCTGTTAGGAACATAAGTAACAATCAGATCTCTGATATAAGATGGAGCTTGGCCATTTAAGGCTTTATATGTGAGAAGGAAGATTTTAAATTCTATTCTGGATTTAACAGGAAGCCAATGAAGAGAAGCCAGGATAGGAGAGATATGATCTCTCTTTTTAAGTTTCATCAGAACTCTGGCTGCAGCATTTTGGATCAGCTGAAGGCTTTTAACTACAGTTTGTGGACTTCCTGATAGTAGAGAATTACAATAGTCCAGCCTTGAAGTAACAAATGCATGGACTAGTTTCTCAGCATCACCCCTGGACAGGATATTTCTAATTTCTACAATATTCCGCAGATGAAAGGATATTCTAGAAACCTCTTTGATATGGGATTCAAATGACAGGTCCTGATAAAAAATAACACCAAGATTTTTTACTTTATTACAAAGATAACAAGTTTTTTATGTAAACACGTGGTAATGGCAGCATCATGCTGTGGAGAGATGATCAGAGTTCTTTAATCCCATACTGTAGGTTTTATTTTATTATTGTTTATTTACTGTGTGAAGCTCAGTTCATGCTAGTAGTTTTGTCGTCTCTATAGGTGCTGGATGTTTCAAACAACAAGCTTAGTGAGATCCCTACAGATCTGAGCGACTGCCCCAAGTTAAAGGAGGTCAACTTTAAGGGCAACAAGCTAAGCGATAAACGCCTGGAGAAGATGGTCAACGGCTGTCAGACCAAGTCAATCCTGGAGTATCTGAGAGGGAAAGGAAGACAGGGGGAAGAGGGAGGCGACGCTGACAAGAAAAAGAAGCAGCAGCAGAGGAAGAAGAAGGGGAAGAAGGCAGAGGAGCAAGACGAGGTGGAGGAGCTGAACAAGATGGTGGTGAGGGTGCTTCACGCCTCCGAGGCATCAACAGCACTCACAGTTAAGGTCAGCGCTGAGGTCAAAGATGTCCGACCGTACCTGGTGTGCTGCCTGGTCAGCGGGTTGAACCTGAAACCAGGGAATGCTCTGAAACGCTTCTTGATGGCTCAGGTAACTAAACATAAGAAAATAAAAACCATATAAAGGAGTGAATGTGTAGCTGCTACTAAAAGCAACGGCATTTGATTTACAGACAAAGCTCCATGATGATTTGTGCGGTAGAAGAACGACTGCAACTATAGCGACCCACAATGCGCAGCTTGTGAAACACCCGCTGGTCTATGATGTAAAACCACCCACCCAACTGAAGGTATTCACTTTGATTTTAAGGCTGCCCTGTTTCCTAGAATGCACTTTTAGGTTTTTGCGCAAAAAGTCTCTATCAGTACTTTAACTCATCAAAGCAGACAAAATTCAAACATAAAAAGCCTTCAGAGACCCAGAAAGCACAAAAATATTAAGGGATCCTCTGGATCTCTGGCTGAACATAAAAAATTTGAAAAAAAAGATGTACAATTTGTAAAGTGAACCAAATGTTTCTCAGATCGTGGCCCTGGGTCGGAGGGAGATGACAGCTGTGGAGCTGATAAGGCAGCTTCATTTAGAGGCTGACGAGCTCAGGAAGCAGAAGAAGAGGCAGAATGTGACTGGCCTCCACAAGTCAGTACCGCAAGTTCAAATATTTTTAAAAATTAATGGTATAAATATGAATGTAAACGCTAGACATGAATCAGTTTGTTTAATTAATGAAGAACTTTGAGGTTTCAAATCTATTGAAGAGCGCTATTCTTTTAAAAACTATTTTAGTCTCTGACAGCCAGTTGATCCGTTTCTTTTGCAACAGATATCTGCAGCTTTTGGAAGGAAAGTCTTTCTATCCCTGTTTAGTGGATGCAGAGGGAGACGTGATCTCCTTCCCACCGATCACTAACAGTGAAAAAACCAAGGTCTGTGCATCTGTTTCATGCCCATTTATCGTCAAACATGACAACTCTGATACCTAAAGGAAACCTGTATTATTATTAACAAGCAGGTTAATCTGTTTTTTTTTTTTAAATGATTCTATTCTTATCATGATAGAATATATGAAAACACGTTTCCTGTGCAGATAAAGAAGACAACCAAAGAGTTGCTGGTAGAGGTGACGAGCTCGACCAGCTTGCAGACCTGCAAAGATGTCATGGATGCTTTGATCGTAGTAAGATTTCTTGTTTTTCCTCTCACTATTTTCTGTTTTAGAAACTTTCACATCTTACAGTTTGAAATTTTACCTCCAAGTTTGTCCTCAAGGTGGCAGGAGAGGGTCTTTTTTATTTTTTTTTACTGGCCTCTGCTTGTATGGAGCTTTCTCAAATCCCATTACTGCAAAGTGCTCCACACCAGTGGCGGCTGGTGAAAAATATTTTTGGTGGGGCTGATATAGCCTAGTGTATGTCTCCAACTAACCCGGAATAAGAATTCAATAAACAATTGGACAATACATACAATTTAACAGTAATGATTTAATTTACTATATAATAACAGTAACAGTGATGATTTGGGTCACTGTGACGGGGTTCTTTGGCCTCCAAGAATCCAGTCTCAGTCGGGTTACCGGTGTTGGTGATTTATTGAGCTCAAAAACTCAAAACAGGGTGCAAAAGAAACTAAACATATACAAGATACTCTGGGCCTCAGCCTCCCTCCAGTTACCAGCAATGTAACAAAGAAACAGAAAACAAAAATTGCCGCTTTTCTTCCCACAGCCCTCATTAAATAGTTTAAGCCCCTCACCTCAGGCTCTCTTATTTCTGATTTCTTCTCATTAATCAGTTTTGTCCATATATTACCTCCACAAACAATTGATGTACAAAAACAAATAATGTTTACAACTTAATTCTTTTACACAGATTCATTGACTTATTCAATTACACCAAACTGGGTTTGAACCCAGCAAAGACGCAGCCAGACTGAAGATGACAAGTCCCCGCATAAACACGTACACACCCACACCCCCCACATACCCACACACACACACACACACACACACACACACACACACACACACACACACACACACACAAACACCCACACGGCTAACCCCACTGAAATATTAAGTGTGCACCCTCAATACGCCAGCAGGTAACCAGGACAGCTTGTGTGTTTTAAGTTAATAGAGCTACTGATCTCAGCGCGAGTGTATTGGTCCTCACAAACACAGTATAACAGGAATGTGTGTGTGGCGCGCAAAGTTAGAGAGGTTGTTTTAAGCGACGAGGTGGATTCGTCACAGTCACAATAACCATGAAATGAAATGTTCATATCATACAACAGGGATGTTCTTCTGGCAAACGGGTAGATAAATAAGGATCTCACCGAATTTGGTGGAAGCTGCATCTCGCTCGTTACATTCGCCATCTTCCCTCTAATTGTCTGCACCTGCGCTTGGGTTCAGAAGAGAAGCCTGTAAAAGCGCAGTATTTTCAGCGCCCCAATACCATAAAGTTCCGAGACGCTGATTGGCCATTAAATTCACCTAGCAATAGTACATGATTGACAGATTCTCTGCAAATGTGGGTCAGTCTGATCACAGCCCCCAGAACAGAGATGGTAGGAGTCTGTCTGTGGAAATCCACAAATTAATGACAGTAGATAGGGAAATGTAGTTTATATAATTTGTTTTGCTTATAGTTACACAGTCTAGAGAGTAAAACAGACATTTATGAGTTAATTTCTAAAAATATATTTTACGTTTCTCTCTTCTTATCAGGGAGGGCGGTGCCCCAGCGCCCCCTATGGGCCGGCCGCCACTGCTCCACACCACTGTCAGGTCTTAGTTTTTAAGAGATGTCTCAAATTTTAAGACCTTAATTTTTAAGACTTTTCACATATTGGTCAGTTAGAAGCAGCCCTAATCTAATGAAGCTCCTTGCACCATCTCACCATCAGGAACACCAACAGACAGCTTAAGTATCAGTTTATCGCTCTTTATTTTCTGAATTCAGTTGCATGTTATATTCTTACTGGGAGTACGGTCTTGCTGGCTTATTCTGTCTTTCCTGAAATAGGCTCCTGTTTTATATAATAGCAAATTATATTTTATTTTTGTTAAATTGCTTGAAAATAATGATTTTTGTCAGTTTTATATCTGTGTCATAACCAGTGGAAGCCTTGGAACAGGCCAAAAATACAAATTTCTTAAACATCTCTTCATATTTTAACTCTCTGCTGTATTTACTGGTCCTAAAACAGGAACAACAAATATTTATTACCATTTTATATCATTAAAAGTACCCACATAGCTACTTTGCCTAGTAACAAGTGACTTCAACTGTGCAGTAACTAAGCTACTAACATACTTATTTAGTTACCGTATTTTCACGACTATAAGGCGGATATAGACGTCTTTTTTTTCCCTCAAATTGTGCGGTGCGCCCTATGGTGCGGCGCGCCCTATCTGCGGACGTTGTTGAGACCACCATGAGTATATGAGAACGTTAAAGGGGAAGTGTGGGCGTGGCTTGTGTATAACAACATGAGAACGTTAAAGGGAGAAGTGTGGGTGTGGCTTGTGTATAACAACATGAGAACGTTAAAGGGGGAAGTGTGGGTGTGGCTTGTGTATAACAGAACATGAGAACGTTAAAGGGGGAAGTGTGGGCGTGGCTTGTGTATAACAGAACATGAGAACGTTAAAGGGGGAAGTGTGGGCGTGGCTTGTGTATAACAGAACATGAGAACGTTAAAGGGGGAAGTGTGGGTGTGGCTTGTGTATAACAACATGAGAACGTTAAAGGGAGAAGTGTGGGTGTGGCTTGTGTATAACAACATGAGAACGTTAAAGGGGGAAGTGTGGGTGTGGCTTGTGTATAACAGAACATGAGAACGTTAAAGGGGGAAGTGTGGGTGTGGCTTGTGTATAACAACATGAGAACGTTAAAGGGGGAAGTGTGGGCGTGGCTTGTGTATAACAGAACATGTGAACGTTAAAGGGGAAGTGTGGGCGTGGCTTGTGCATAAAAGAACAGGTATGTGCTTTATGCAGAGCATTGTTGTCTTAACAGCCCTAAAAATGGCAAAGAGACACGCCTATGTTTAACACAGTTTAAACTGAAGGCTATCAGCTATGCAGAGGAACATGGAAATTGAGCAGCCGCGAGAGAATTCAAGATAAATGAATCGATGGTTCGCAAGTGGAGGAAGATGGAAAACGAAATCTGACAGGTGAAGAAGACGCAGCTGAGTTTCCGCGGACATAAGGCGAGGTGGCCCGAGTTGGAGGAAAGACTCGAGCGTAGGATTATTGAGCAAAGAACGAGTGGGGCCAGCGTTTCGACGGTCACTGTTCAACTAAAATCAGTAACGCTAGCGGAAGAAATGAAAATTGAACATTTTCAAGGAGGTCCATTGTGGTGCTTTCGTTTTATGAAACGGTGCAATTTTTCCATCCGGACCAGGACTACAGTTGCTCAGCGACGTCCGGCGGATTATAATGAAAAGCTGGCGAGCTTCCACTCCTACTGCAGCAAACACATCGCCGACAAACGCATCCAGCCAAGCCACATCACCAACATGGACGAGGTGCCGCTCACTTTCGACATCCCGGTGAATCACACGGTGTATGAAAAGGCGTCGTTTACTGCCACGCAAATGGACAGAAACTGCCGCCTATGGTGATTTTTTAAAAGAAACACTTTGCCTAAAGAGACTTTTCCAGCTGGAGTTGTTATTAAGGCAAATGAAAAGGGCTGGATGGATGAGGAGATGATGAAAGCGTGGCTGAGGGAGGTGTATGTAAGGAGACCAGGTTTTTTTTTCCACGCATCACCATCGCTGTTAATCTGTGACTCCATGCGTGCCCATCTCACAGCCGATGTGAAAAACATGGTGAAACAAATGAACGCTGTGCTTGCTGTTATTGTGGGAGGGCTGCCAAAGGAACTTCAACCACTCGACATCGGTGTGAACCGGCCGTTCAAAGTAAGGCTGCGAGCGGCGTGGGAGCGATGGATGACAGACGGAGACCACAGGTTCACAAAAAGTGGAAGGCAGCGCCGGGCAAGTTACGCCACCGTTTGCGGATGGATTGTAGATGCTTGGACTAACGTGTCTGCTGGCTCTGTTGTTCAAGCTTTCGCAAAAGCCGGCATCATTTCCGAGGAGCCGCGCGGCACGGAAAGTGACTCTGACAGCGAAGAAGGGGAAATTGGCATGTCTGATTTAGCGCAGCTGTTTAATTCAGAAACAGAGGATGATGACTTTGATGGGTTCGATTAATACTTTGTAATAAATAGATGAATAAAGCACAATCATACTCAGTTTTGCTTCCGCTCTATTTTTCTACCTGAAAACTTAATTCAACAGCAGCCTCTGGGCCGGGTCGCCTCTGGGTTCACCGCGGCGGCTGGTAGGTGTTTTTTTTATCTAAATAATCCAAACTGCAGGCACCAGGAGGATAAAAGCGAACATATTCTGCCGGCAGATTTCTGCATTTTAAGTTAATTTAGGCGTTGATAAACTGTTTCAGAGGAGTAATCACAGCGCTCTGTGTCATCAGCGATGTGTCTGTCTCACGGCCAGCTCCCAGGTTTGATTAATACTTTGTAATAAATACACCTTGCAGCTATGTTTGCTGTAATCAGTGGGAATAAAGTAATTTTAATATGTTTTTTAGTGAGAAAATCCACCTGAAAACGTAATCATTGCAGTCAGTTCATCCAGATTATCATCATGCCTTATAGAAACGAGAGGTTACAAAGAAGGAAGGATTGGAAATGAGTGGTTAGATGCAACAGGAGCAGGTCTGATTCAGGGCTAGAAATGTGCATCAGACTCCTGCCCTGCCTCTATAGAGGCCAGATGATTGCTAACAAACTCCAGCTAAGTCTATCTTCCTTCGTGTAAGCAAACATAACTCATCACCAGGATGTGATCAATAGACAGCTCAGCCCCTCTTTTCATCTGAGCCTCCAAAACATGGAACCAAAAAAGGTCAGAAGACAGAAAGTCAAAGCCCAAACATTAAAAAAAATTATAATTAAAACACACAAGTATTTTCCTTTTTTTTTTTTTTTTACCCAAACCAGAAATCTGATAGAAAATCATTGTCTGATTTCAGAATTTTTTTCACTAAACTAAAATAAAAATAAAAAATAGTATTAATAAAGAGTGAGTGATAGAAGACTCACCTTCAATTATATTTTTGACAAGTATAAAATTCTAAGAAATGTGGGTCTAATCAGGCTGATGGTCAGTTTGCCAAAACAGAAAGCAAGCCAGTTTAACATGATCTCCATGGCAACTGTTGTCATTGGATATAAAGTTTAAGCTATTCATATTCATCCAGCTTGCAAAACATTTCTGTAAGGTTACTGAACTTGAAAATGAAGCTGAGGCTCCCTCTGTCCGGCATTGAGCGCACTCTCAATCTTTTTACATCTCCTGCTCTCAATGTTTACTGATTATCTCCACAGAATAGATGGAAGCTCTTCTGTAGAATATTTTTTTCTCTCCTTCAGTTTTCACAAGTTTCATGGGTCAGGGCAACTTGTCTCTTGGAAAAAACAAAAAAAGAAGAAAACTAAGTGTTTTTCCATTTTTGTTAAGTGTGAAACAATCAGATAATGGTTTGTTATCTGATTATAAACTAAAATACTATTCATTTTTTCCCTGTCTGGTTTGAACCTATGGCATCGCAATGCCAAGGCCAATGATTATCACTGTTGGGAACAGTACTTAGAGGGAACTAGTTCCCAACAAAAGTACCGTATTTTCACGACCATAAGGCACCGGACTATAGGGCGCGTTTTTTATGTACAGGTACATGTCCTCTACCACGTTTAAATACCTCTACTGCATATTTAAAAATAGAGCGGGAGCAAAACTAAGTATGATTGTGCTTTATTCATGTATTTATTACAAAGTATTAATCAAACCTGGGAGCTGGCCGTGAGACAGACACATCGCTGATGACACAGAGCGCTGTGATCACTCCTCTGAAACAGTTTATTGACACATAAATTAATTTAATATGCAGAAATCTGCCGGCAGAATATGTTCGCTTTTATTATTCTGGTGCCTGCAGTTTAGATTATTTAGATAAAAAACACCTACCAGCTGCCGCGGTGAACCCGGAGGCGACCCGGCCAGAGGCTGCTATTGAAGGGATTCCTACTGTCGGCGCACCGCTGGTATGTGGGGCTCTGAGCGCCTCCGACAGAAATAGTATAAATAGTATTAATCAAACCCATCAGAGTCATCATCCTCTGTTTCTGAATTAAAGAAACAGAGTTAAAGAAAGAAAATACTATTTCTGTCTGATGCACATTTCTAGCCCTGAATAAGACCTGCTCCTGATGCATCTAACCACTCATTTCCTATCCTTCCTTCTTTGTAACCTCTCGTTTCTTTCAGTCCTTCTTGGCAGGGTAAGAAAGTGTGTCATCACTAAAACGTTGATTTTTTTATTAAAAAATGTTCTTTGCTGTCGTTGGCTTAATTGTGCTGTAGGAGTTTAACTGTATTGAATCTTCCTTCTTTTTATTGTCATCAGAAAATGGCAGAATTAAACAAGTTCACAGCTGAGCATAAGGAGCTAGCAGGGTCAGACGGAGAGGCTGATGAAGCCCCAGAGCCAGCCACCGTCACTGAGACCTCCAGCCAACTCATCGTCCAGCAGGTCCGAACCGTCGACCAGGACGGAAACCTGAAGGTCGTCTACCCGTCAAAAACGGACCTCTCCAAAGAAATCAGTAACATAACAGTGATTTGGTGAAAAGGCTTTTTGTGTGAATGCCCTTTAACATCTGATGGATTATTTTTAATCTTTTGGATCCTAAGCTAACATCAATTTTGATTTCAAGCATCAGATCGGTATTACACATGTACAAATAATCACATTTGTATGAAAAACTTCCTGAGTAAAACTGTACTCTTTTTAATTGTATTTAATTAAAAGAAATTGGCAGAAAAAAATCTTTACTTTCTAATACAAGCATCCCGACAGTAGTGTCTGTGTTCCTGTCTTTGCCACTTCCTTTAACTTGCTAGCTTTTACAGATTTATTTAAAGTAATTAACTCTCAAACTGCTGGTATTTATCTCCCAGTTGTCTTTTATTTCTCATAACCCTTTGCCTCATGAAGCACACTAAAACATAACTGGACCAGAATGTTTAAAAAAATAATAAAAATCCAACACACAATACGGATAATGTTTGGTTTATTGTACATTAAAGCACAACTAATATATGACCTAATAGGAAACCAATATCTGCTTAAAAATCTTCATTCCATCAATTGGGGAAAAAGAAAAACAAATGAGCTGTAATCTTAGTATAATTGTTAAACTCTTCTCCTTCAGTAATTTATTTTCCAGTTCTTTTGAAGCATCTCAACATCTGCAACAAAGAAAACAGAATTTTTAGATCAGAAAAGTAGTTTCTTGGTACATAGGTGCACCTAAAGCATTACATCAGCATCTTTTTGGTATAAAGACACCAATCACAGCTGTACTTACAGTCACATCTGTAAGCCACCTCCAGGTACTTGAACGTGCCGACACAGGGGTCTCCAAAATCGGAGTTGCTTGCGGTGATTGCACAGCTGTTTCTCCCATTACAGCTGTGGATGGAGGTAGACGTGCCATTAGTGCTATTTATTCCCTCAATAATACACAAAGAGTCTTTCATTTGAAACTTTTTTTTGTTTTGTTTTCTATTTGTCTCTTAATCCACGGCAGGAGTTTAATCCTCTTCTCGGCTGTGATTGGTTTATTTATTTGTCTCTGGGGAAAAAAAACCTTATAGAATATTTTATTTACAACTAATGCAGATTTTTCAACTAATACAATAAACGTCATTTTATAATTTCGCGCACAATTGTGAATTAGAAAATTACTTGCCATTTTTAAGAATACATTTTAAATGGTGAGCAAGGTGAGTCAGTCTTTTCTAGTATGCTCTACTCAACGTTCTCATATGAACTGAAACTCTTACTTTGACTAGACCACTTTAAGTAATATAAGTATTAATTAAAGTCACTAACTGATGGTCTTTTCTATGAATCAGTCAAAACTCACATTTCAGCTACTTTTCTTGTGGGGTTATAGCAGTAAACATTTTCCGTTTGAGAGGCAGGTCGTCTGTAAGAGCAGGTGGTCTGGTCCCGCCGTCCATAGTCGGCCCCGTAGACAGATATGACCTGTCCAACATCTGGATGAAAAGAAGAAAATCATTTCAAGAGGTGACAGTAATAATGTTTTAATCCTCGTGTTTGTTAAATTCATTTATGTGTAAATGTATTAAGTGAATGAACATAATACTTACCGCAGTGCAAATGTGCATAGGAGTGTTCACATGTAACAACTTGAACTGTAAAAATGGACAAAATGAATCACGTCAATTTATAATAATGTTCAGCTTTGCAGTTATTAGTCCCACTGAGAGGTGACCTACTTGCTGGCAGGCAGGTGTAATTAGTCTCCACATACTTGGCGATGCCCTCGCATGGATCGGAGCTGCTAACATCGTGTGGGTTAAACTCGCATACAGTCTTTCCATCACACCTGTTGACAGTTGAAGTATTTTAGTCTATTCATCAAAAGTGCAGTATAATAAATAAGTAAATACAAAAGTATAAGTAAGTACAAACACTAAATGTTTGACTCTGCAGCAGTTTGTCTATACTTAGCAATTTTTTTTGCACCTTTTTTAAAAGCAATTCCCTACTAATTAACCTATTCAACATATATTTTATGTTACATTGCTAGTAAATTTATTTAGGATTTTTGAGATAGGTTAGGCTATATATATATAGCATATGGAATGTATATCTATATATATATATCTATATATAGATATATATATATTTATATTCCATTCCATTTTTTTCTTTAATGTTTTATTACTGTTGTCAATTTCAATGTATTTTTCTAACTGATTTTATATTTAGCCTATCTATATATATATATATATATATATATATATATATATATATATATAAGAAAACTAAAAACTCATCCTTTTACTTCTGTTAAAGTTAAACTGTTAACTGAGGTGTTATTAGTTTTACAAATTGCTTTACAAAATACATTCTTAAAGCACTTCAAATAGACTGTGTACTGAATTGTGCCATACAAATAAACGTGCCATGCATTTAAATTTGCTTTTGCTAAAATTGTTTCATTGTATTTATTTGATTTGTTGAAGCTCACTGTAAGGCCTCTCTTGCAGAAATGGGAAGTAACGAAGTACAAATACTTCGTTACTGTACTCAAGTAGATTTTCTGATATTTTTACTTTACTTTACTACTTATTTTTATGGCGACTTTTTACTTCTACTCCTTAAATTTTTACACAAATATCTGTACTTTCTACTCCTTACATTTTAAAAAATTGGCTCGTTACTTTAGTTTTGAATCATTTCAATGGAGTTACCGTTATTATTTTTCACGTCATCAATACCAAATTCAATCTAATTGGATGGGAATCTACGTTGCATTTTACGCACTACTACAAGATGAATCGACAGATTTGGCGGTATTCATTCCCGGCAAATCATTGCAGCTTGGTGGCGGTGGCGTTAGCATAGTAGTATGGACGACGAGATGATTGAAAATGAACACAACGGAGATCTAGTCCTATTGGCAGACATCCATTTAAAATGTAGGCAACGAATGAAAAAAGTGGTTTCTACTTTTACTCTTATACTTTAAGTAAATTTACAAGCCTGTACTTTGTTACTTTTACTTGAGTAAAGAAGTTTAATCAGTACTTCCACTTTTACCAGAGTATTTTTTAACACAAGTATCTGTACTTTTACTCAAGTACGGAAAGTGAGTACTTTTGCCATCTCTGCTCTCTTGTAATGTGTTATGCACGTTACATTTTCCCTACAATCACTTTTTCCACCTACTTTATTTTAGAGTTTAATTGGTACAACTCAAATTTTTCATTGGGTAAGATCTACTTTACCTCTGCTTGATTATATCCTCAGTGCCTTCTTGGGAGCACCCAGTATTGGCAAGCTGCTGAGGAGGCCTGCCCTCACTGCAGAGCTGAGTGTCTGCACGTCCATAGAGTGCTGACTGCACGCTGATCACACCATCATCTGTTAAAGACAACAGGACAAAAAGAAAGGTTTTGGACATAATAGAAATGATGTCTTTGCATCTAAAAAGGAGGAAGAGCAGCAGACTAAATGAGCTTTGAGAAAAATATTGCTGACAACAAACAGATGGAGATAAATTTGTTATTTTAGGGATTGTGGTTGAAAATTGTTTGTTTGTAGATGTAAAGGTTTTAGTCTTACCGCAGCTCAAACGCTGGATATTACCATGGCCATCACAGGTTACAGCCCTTTCAGTGAGAGCAACTGTAAAAACAGAAAATCTTATAAAATATTATTTACAAAAGTAATTTGACCTTTTTGTTAAAGCAATCCTTACCTGATGCCATGAGTAAGCATGCTGTTGCAAGCACTAGACAGAGAAAAAGGTGTCAGATTGTTCTGAAAATTAGGCTAATTTTACATCTACAGCAAGCCTATTATTAGTGAATACACATACTGTAAATACCTGCCCTTTGAAACTAACAGATAGCTCTCATTTATCACAGAAAGTTAATGCAATCAGGTACTTTTTGCACACCTGTTAATATAAATGTACTCACCCAGCGCAGAGCTCAGTCTAAAGTGCAGCATGGTTCAGAAGTTACAGTTTCAAGTGAGCAGTGTGAGCAAAACTGACACAAGACTCCTATTTATGTTGCTGGATGAGGAGCGGAACATAGGCTTGACCTTACGCAATTGGATTATATCCATCAGATAAAAATCTTTTAAAGTGTAATAGGACAAAGGTAGAAAAAAAAAGATCACAATGACTTGATTGTAATACCTGTTGACAGTGAATGAGGTCATGGGTTTTAGGTTTTTTTTTGAAGGGTCACTCCCATTAAGGACACCAGGAAGAATGAACATTTCCTGTCTGGTAAGTGAAAAAAAGACAGTAAAGATAAAGTTATCAAATACTACCATTACTGTTGGGGTTTTCCCTCTAAAACAAGCTCTTTGTGTAAGTCAACAATTTCCCATAATTGTCATTAGTTTGTTGTGTGGCATTTCCTACATTTACTTCCTTGAGGGAGTGCTCTTCATTGTATTGAATTATTACAGACACTCCTAAATATATTGTAATTATTTACTTAGATATACCTGTTTTTTCTAATTGAGAATAAATGAAATGGAATAAATGAAGAAAACGTGTAACTAAGACAAATATATTGTAAAGTAAATTAATAGCTATGATTAAAAAAAAAGTCTCTCCTGAAGTGACTATATTAAGGGATCCTCTGGATCTCTGGCTGAACATAAAAAATTTGAAAAAAAAAGATGTACAATTTGTAAAGTGAACCGAATGTTTCTCAGATCGTGGCCCTGAGTCGGAGGGAGATGACGACTGTGGTGTTATGTTTCTGGCCTGTCAACTAGTATTTGTTTTCATTCCCCTCCCTCTTCTGCTCTGTGCTGCCACTGCTCAGCCTAATTGCCACTGATTCCTCTCACCTGTTTGCCAGCCTTCTTAAGCAGGCCAGATTGCCTGAAAGCCTTGGCTAGTAAGCATCCAGCATTTTTCTGTTTGTCCACCTAATCCTGACCAGTTTCTGCCTCCTGATTTTTTGAGCCTGCCTAGCCCTTGTTGGATCTGTTTTTTGTGCCGCCTGGATCCCTGACCTGTTTCTGTGCCCTGACCTTGTCCCTGGATTCTGTTTTGGATTCTCTGAAAATCTGATCACCTGGCTCTGACCCTGGACCTCCTTTGACCAAGATTATCTGCCAAGCCTCAGTGAGAATTCTGTGTCAAACAACCAAAGTTTTCTGGAACCAAAACACCCCGCCTGGATATTAAGAAAGGTTAGTGACTTAGCAGTCTGAATCTTAAATCATCTATCTCAGCCACTAACCTGTTCTCTCCCCTCCAGAGGCTCTGGCTCCCCTGATCCTGAAAAACCTGCATTATTCCCTCAATAAATCTTTTAAAGTTATTTCCTGTTGTGTTCTGGTAGTTTCTGGGTCCTTAGTTTGAATCTTAACAGTGCAATCTGGCCAACAATAGACCCAACACCAGCACAACAGTGGCGAGCCGGTGTTGATAACTCTATCGCTCGGCTTGATGCAGGTATGACTGAAATCATTTCCATGTTGCGCAACTTGTCTGTTCCCAGCCATACCCAGGCTTCCCCACAGCCTGTTGGTCCTCCTGCAGTTCCAGAAGCCACCACAAGAGAGCCAAATCTGTGTCCTCCTGAGGTTTTCAAGGGTGATGCTGATCAGTGCAGAGCTTTTCTCACTCAATGTGAAATTCACTTTGAACTGCAACCCTCATCATTTCCCACAGATCGGTCTAAGGTGGCTTATGTTATTTCTCTCCTCTCAGGCAAAGCGAAGCAGTGGGGCACAGCAGAGTGGCAGAATAAATCTCCTTGCTCATTATCCTATTCTGTTTTTGCCAAGGAACTCGTCAGAGTTTTTGATCCTGTTCTCCCAGCCAGAGAAGCGGCCAGAGGGTTACTCTCACTCAAACAGGGGTCCAGGTCAGTCACGGCATACATAATAGATTTTCATCTTCTGGCAGCTGATAGTTCTTGGAACAATGAAGCACTTATGCATGTATTTTTGCAAGGTTTAAATGAGGACATTAAGGATGAGCTAGCTACTTGTGATTTCCCACGTTCTTTGAAAGAGTTGGAGGATTTGGCTGCTCGTATAGACTTGCAGCTTTCGGAAAGACGAAGAGAGAGAAGCTATAAGGGGAAGCAAGCTGTTTTTACCACACAAGCCAAAGCAGATACCCAGTTAACAGCTGTTTCATCTCCTCCTACCAGTGAACCTCAACCCATGCAGTTGGGTAGACTCAGGATATCTGCTAAAGAACGCATTCGTAGAAAGCAGCAGAATCTGTGTTTCTACTGTGGAGGAAGGGGTCACAGAGCCATTGGGTGCCCGTTAGAAGAACAAGCTCAGTAGAGGGAGAGGAGTTTCTAATGAGTCAAAGCTGGTCCTCAAGCTCCTCTAACACACTTATGTTCCCTGCTAACCTTTTGGTGTCCTCTGCCTCTCATCAGGTCTCTGTGTTCATTGACTCTGGAGCTGACACAGAGTTTATGGATGAATCTTTTGCCAAAAGACATAACATCAAACTCTTTCCTGCCCCTGCATTCCAGAACATTCTGGCCCTGGATGGGCACCACCTCAATCAGTCGTATCTGATGACGGAGAAGGTTGGCCTGGCTCTAGGAGGTAACCACAAGGAAGAGATTTCCTTCCTAGTCATCAAGTCTCCTTCCATTCCTGTCATTTTGGGAGCTTCATGGCTATGGAAGCATAACCCCCATATTGACTGGAGGGCTAAGGAAATTTTAGGCTGGTCAAGTTCTTGTTCTGCCTCATGTTTGTCTTCTGCTTGTACCCTCTCCACTCCCATTAATGAGATTGAAGAGACCCATCCTGACCTTTCCAAGGTTCCCCAAGTCTATCATAATTTAAAGGAGGTTTTCCGGATGCACTTTCCAGGATTGAGAGGTCCAAATCAGAGGTCAGTGGTCCTACAGATTTTATTCTTCCTCAGTCAGTTCAACTAGCAGCCACCAGATTGGAGTTGGAGAGAGAAGTTAGAGAAGCCAGTCTTCCTACTGCTGAGTCATGTCCCAGGGATCGACTCTTTGTTCCTGAGAACCTGGTGGACAAGGTGATCAAGTTCTGTCACAACTCCCGCCTATATTGTCATCCTGGTATCGTCAAGACTCTGAAATTGGTTCAAACGCAGTTCTGGTGGCCATCTCTAATCAAAGATGTCAAGGACTTTGTCTCATCCTGCTCTCTGTGTTGCCAGGTCAAGCCGTCTCGGCGTCCCCCTTCTGGACTGTTGCGCCCACTCCCTATCCCACCACGTCCTTGGTCCCATCTCTCAATGGACTTTGTTACTGGGTTGCCTCCCTCTAATGGGTTTACTGTCATTCTAACTGTTGTTGACAGGATTTCTAAGATGGTCCATCTCATCCCCCTGAAGAAACTCCCCTCAGCCAAGGAGATGGGAGAGATATTGGCCAGGGAGATGTTCCGCTTACATGGGCTCCCCTCCAATATTGTGTCGGATCGAGGTCCCCAATTTGTCTCTCGTTTCTGGAGAGAGTTCTGCTCTATGTTGGGCATCTCCATCAGCCTGTCCTCTGGCTTCCACCCACAAACAGATGGTCAAACTGAGAGGGCAAACCAAGAGATGGAAACCAAGCTCCGTGTCCTGTGTGGGTTGGATCCGTCCAAGTGGTCCCAGAGTCTGTCATGGGTGGAACACTCTATGAATTCTCTTCCTTCAAGTACCACTGGCCTCTCAAAATTCTATGTTGTCTATGGTTTCCAGCCACCAGTTTTCTTTATCTAGGAGAGGGAGGTGATGGTCCCTTCTGCCCACACTGCTGCCTTGAGGTGCCAACGGATCTGGAGGAGAGCTAGACGGACCTTAATCAGGATGTCAGAGATCCAGTCCAGAACAGCCAACTGTCGTCGTGTCCCAGCCCCTGTCTATCAAGTTGGTCAAAGGGTCTGGCTGTCCACCAAGGACAATCCCACTCCGAATGGAATGTCGTAAGTTGGCATCCCGCTTTGTCGGCCTCTTTCCCATTTCTAAAGTGGTGAACCCAGTGGCCCTCCGGTTACAGTTGCCTCACTCCATGAAGATCCATCCCACCTTTCATGTGTCCCGGGTCAAGCCCTATGTTGCGTCTCGTTTTGAGCCCTCCTCCAGGCCCCCTCCATCCACCCGGTTTCTTGATGGGGATCCCATCTACACCCTACGATGTATCCTCCGTTCCAGGAGGAGGGGTCGTGGGGTCCATTACCTGGTGGATTGGGAGGGATATGTACCAGAGGAACGATCATGGATTCCAGCAAGGTTCATCATTGACAAGTCCCTCATCCGGGAGTTCCATTGCCTGCACCCGGATCAACCTCGAGGTCCGTCGGGAGCCGGACCTTGAGGGAGGGGTACTGTTATGTTTTTGGCCTGTCAACTAGTATTTGTTTTCATTCCCCTTCTGCTCTGTGCTGCCACTGCTCAGCCTAATTGCCACTGATTCCCAGAGGCTCTGGCTCCCCTGATCCTGAAAAACCTGCATTATTCCCCCAAATAATCTTTTAAAGTTATTTCCTGTCGTGTTCTGGTAGTTTCTGGGTCCTTAGTCTGAATCTTAACACGTGGAGCTGATAAGGCAGCTTCATTTAGAGGTTGACGAGCTCAGGAAGCAGAAGAAGAGGCAGAATGTGACTGGCCTCCACAAGTCATTACCGCAAGTTCAAATCTATTGAAGAGCACTATTCTTTTAAAAACTATTTTAGTCTCTGACAGCTGGTGGATCCGTTTCTTTTGCAACAGATATCTGCAGCTTTTGGAAGGAAAGTCTTTCTATCCCTGTTTAGTGGATGCAGAGGGAGACGTGATCTCCTTCCCACCGATCACTAACAGTGTAAAAACCAAGGTCTGTGCATCTGTTTCATGCCCATTTATCGTCAAACATGATAGCTCTGATACCTAAAGGAAACCCGTATTATTATTAACAAGCAGGTTAATCTGTTTTTTTTTTTAAATGATTCTATTCTTATCATGATAGAATATATGAAAATATGTTTCCTGTGCAGATAAAGAAGACAACCAAAGAGTTGCTGGTAGAGGTGACGAGCTCAACCAGCTTGCAGACCTGCAAAGATGTCATGGATGCTTTGATCATAGTAAGCTTTCTTGTTTTTCCTCTTACTATTTTCTTTTTTAGAAATGTTCACATCTTGCAGTTTGAAATTTCTCGTCCCAGTTTGTCTGTAAGGTGACAGGAGAGGATTATTATTATATATTTTTTTTTTTACTGGCCTCTGCTTGTATGGAGCTTTCTCAAATCCCATTACTGCAAAGTGCTCCACACCACTGTCAGGTCTTAGTTTTTAAGAGATGTCTCAAATTTTAAGACCTTAATTTTTAAGACTCTTCACATATTGGTCAGTTAGAAGCAGCTCTAATCTAATGAAGCTCCTCGCACCATCTCACCATCAGGAACACCAACAGACAGCTTAAGTATCAGTTTATCGCTCTTTATTTTCTCAGTGTTATGCTGAATTCAGTTGCATATTATATTCTTAGTGGGAGTACGGTCTTGCTGGCTTATTCTTTCTTTCCTGAAATAGGCTCCTGTTTTATATATAGCAAAGTATATTTTATTTTAGTTAAATTGCTTGAAAAGAAGGATTTTTGTCAGTTTTATACCTATGTCATAACCAGTGGAAGCCTTGGAACAGGCCAAGAATACAAATTTCTTAAACATCTCTTCATATTTTAACTCTCTGCTGTATTTATTGGTCCTAAAACAGGAACAGCAAATATTTATTACCATTTTATATCATTAAAAGTACCCACATAGCTACTTTGCCTAGTAACAAGTGACTTCAACTGTGCAGTAACTAAGCTACTAACATACTTATTTAGTTACTTTTGTGGGGAACTAGTTCCCAATAAGTACTGTTCCCAACAGTGTAAATCAGTGGCCTTGGCATTGCGATGCAATAGGTTCAAACAGAACAGGGAAAAAACAAATAATATTTTTGTTTATTAAACCACAAGGAGAAAACGGATAACAAACCATTATCTGATTGTTTCACACTTAACAAAAATGGAAAAACACTTAGTTTTCTTCTTTTTTTGTTTTTTCCAAGAGACAAGTTGCCCTGAAATAATGAAATGATCAGTAAACATTGAGAGCAGGAGATGTAAAAACCAAAGATTGAGAGTGCGCTCAAAGCTGTACAGAGGGAGCCTCAGCTTCATTTTCACTCAATCCAGTTCAGCAAGCTGGATGAATATGAATAGCTTAGACTTTATATCCAAAGACAAAAGTTGCCATGGAGATTATGTTTAACTGGCTTTCTGTTTTGGCAAACTGGCCATCAGCCTGATTAGACCCACATTTGTTAGAGTTTTATACTTGTCAAAAATATGATTGAAGGTGAGTCTTCTATCACTCACTCTTTATTAATATAATTTTTTTTTATTATTATTTTGTTTAGTGAGAAAAATTCTGAAATCAGATAATGATTTTCTATCAGATTTATGGTTTGGGGTAAAAAAAAAAAGTGTTTTAATTATTTTATTTTTTTATGTTGGGGCTTGGACGTTGTTTCTTCTGACCTTTTTTGGTTGCATGTTTTGGAGGCTCAGATGAAAAGAGGGGCTGCGCTGTCTATTGATCACATCCTGGTGATGCGTTATGTTTGCTTGGACAGGAGGAAGATTGACTTAGCTGGAGTTTGTTAGCAATCATCTGGCCTCTATAGAGGCAGGGCAGGAGTCTGATGCACATTTGTAGCCCTGAATAAGACCTGCTCCTGATGCATCTAACCACTCATTTCCTATCCTTCTTCTTTGTAACCTCTCGTTTCTTTCCGTCCTTCTTGGCAGGGTAAGAAAGTGTGTCATCACTAAAGCGTTGATTTTTTTATTAAAAAAATGTTCTTTACTGTCGTTGGCCTAATTGTGCTGTAGGAGTTTAACTGTATTGTATCTTCTTTTTATTGTCACCAGAAAATGGCAGAATTAAACAAGTTCACAGCTGAGCATAAGGAGCTAGCAGGGTCAGACGGAGAGGCTGATGAAGCCCCAGAGCCAGCCACCGTCACTGAGACCTCCAGCCACCTCATCGTCCAGCAGGTCCGAACCGTCGACCAGGACGGAAACCTGAAGGTCGTCTACCCGTCAAAAACGGACCTCTCCAAAGAAATCAGTAACATAACAGTGATTTGGTGAAAAGGCTTTTTGTGTGAATGCCCTTTAACATCTGATGGATTATTTTTAATCTTTTGGATCCTAAGCTAACATCAATTTTGATTTCAAGCATCAGATCGGTATTACACATGTACAAATAATCACATTTGTATGAAAAACTTCCTGAGTAAAACTGTACTCTTTTTAATTGTATTTAAAGCTGCAGTCTGTAACATTGAGGAGAGAGCAGACTTCAACTGAAAATTTGAAGAAAAACAGGTTTCACGCCACTCACCCACCCTCTCTGCTTCACTCATGCCCTACCTCCAAGCTCCACCCCTCTCACAGCATCTGCGCGGCTACCGCATGCGACCAGAAGGGGGGGGGGGGGGGGTGAGCTGTGATTGACACTCCATCAGACGCTCCTCTGGCTGTGATTGGTTGTTTTGACTCGTCCCGAATTATTCTTTCCAGAGTGAAATACAGGCAGTAGGCGGTACCAATTGCAGCAGTTTTTTTCACAGGTTACATATCACATGTGCTGCTGTCTGGGCATAGGGACAGTTTTAGCCAATATGACAAAAAAGTGATTTTTTTAAAACTTACAGACTTCAGCTTTAATTAAAAGAAATTGGCAGAAAAAAAAAAATCTTCACTTTCTAATACAAGCATCCCGACAGTAGTGTCTGTGTTCCTGTCTTTGCCACTTTCTTTAACTTGCTAGCTTTTACAGATTTATTTAAAGTAATTAACTCTCAAACTGCTGGTATTTATCTCCCAGTTGTCTTTTATTTCTCTCAACCCTTTGCCTCATGAAGCACACTAAAGCATAACTGGTACAGAATGTTTAAAAAAATAATAAAAATCCAACACACAATACGGATAATGTTTGGTTTATTGTACATTAAGGCACAACTGATATATGACCTAATAGGAAACCAATACAGGTGCTGGTCATAAAATTAGAATATCATGAAAAAGTAGATTGATTTCAGTAATTCCATTTAAAAAGTGAAACTTGTATATTATATTCATACATTACATACAAACTCATATATTTCAGATGTTTATTTTGTTTAATTTTGATGATTACAAATGACAACAAATGAAAATCTCAAATTCATCATATCAGAAAATTAGAATATTGTGAAAAGGTTCAAAATTGATGGCCCCTGGTGCCACACTCTAATCAGCTAATTAACTCAAACCACCTGCAAAAGCCTTTAAATGGTCTTTCAGTCTAGTTCTATAGGCTACACAATCATGGGGAAGACTGCTGACTTGACAGTTGTCCAAAAGACGACCATCGACACCTTGCACAAGGAGGGCAAGACACAAAAGGTCATCGCTAAAGAGGCTGGCTGTTCACAGAGCTCAGTGTCCAAGCACATTAATAGAGAGGCGAAGGGAAGGAAAAGATGTGGTCGAAAAAAGTGTACAAGCAAGAGAGATAACCGCACCCTGGAGAGGATTGTGAAACAAAACCCCTTCAAAAATGTGGGGGAGATTCACAAAGAGTGGACTGCAGCTGGAGTGAGTGCTTCAAGAACCACCACACACAGACGTATGAAAGACATGGGTTTCTGCTGTCGCATTCCTTGTGTCAAGCCACTCTTGAACCACAGACAGCGTCAGAAGCGTCTTGCCTGGGCTAAAGAGAAACAGGACTGGACTGCTGGTGAGTGGTCCAAAGTCATGTTCTCTGATGAAAGTAAATTTTGCATTTCCTTTGGAAATCAAGGTCCCAGAGTCTGGAGGAAAAGAAGAGAGGCACTTCATCCACGTTGCTTGAAGTCCAGTGTAAAGTTTCCACAGTCAGTGATGGTTTGGGGTGCCATGTCATCTGCTGGTGTTGGTCCATTGTGTTTTCTGAGGTCCAGGGTCAACGCAGCCACATACCAGGAAGTTTTAGAGCACTTCATGCTTCCTGCAGCTGACCAACTTTTTGGAGATGCAGATTTCATTTTCCAACAGGACTTGGCACCTGCACACAGTGCCAAAGCTACCAGTACCTGGTTGAAGGACCATGGTATCCCTGTTCTTAATTGGCCAGCAAACTCTCCTGACCTTAACCCCATAGAAAATCTATGGGGTATTGTGAAGAAGAAGATGCAATACACCAGACCCAACAATTCAGAAGAGCTAAAAGCCACTATTAGAGCAACCTGGGCTATCATAACACCTGAGCAGTGCCACAGACTGATCGACTCCATGCCACGCCGCATTGCTGCAGTAATACAGGCCAAAGGAGGCCCAACTAAATACTGAGTGCTGTACATGCTCATACTTTTCATGTTCATACTTTTCAGTTGGCCAACATTTCTATAAATCCTTTGTTTTTATTGGTCTTCAGTAATATTCTAATTTTCTGATATGATGAATTTGAGATTTTCATTTGTTGTCATTTGTAATCATCAAAATTAAACAAAATAAACATCTGAAATATATGAGTTTGTATGTAATGTATGAATATAATATACAAGTTTCACTTTTTAAATGGAATTACTGAAATCAATCTACTTTTTCATGATATTCTAATTTTATGACCAGCACCTGTATCTGCTTAAAAATCTTCATTCCATCAATTGGGGAAAAAGAAAAACAAATGAGCTGTAATCTTAGTATAATTGTTAAACTCTTCTCCTTCAGTAATTTATTTTCCAGTTCTTTTGAAGCATCTCAAACATCTGCAACAAAGAAAACAGAATTTTTAGATCAGAAAAGTAGTTTCTTGGTACATAGGTGCACCTAAAGCATTACATCAGCATCTTTTTGGTATAAAGACACCAATCACAGCTGTACTTACAGTCACATCTGTAAGCCACCTCCAGGTACTTGAACGTGCCGACACAGGGGTCTCCAAAATCGGAGTTGCTTGCGGTGATTGCACAGCTGTTTCTCCCATTACAGCTGTGGATGGAGGTAGACGTGCCATTAGTGCTATTTATTCCCACAGTAATACAAAAAGAGTCTTTCATTTGAAACTTTTTTTTTGTTTTCTATTTGTCTCTTAATCCACAGCAGGAGTTTAATCCTCTTCTCGGCTGTGATTGATTTATTTATTTGTCTCTGGGGGAAAAAAACCTATAGAATATTTTATTTACAACTAATGCAGATTTTCAACTATTAAAATAAACGTCCTTTTATAATTTCGCGCACAATGGTGAGCAAGGTGAGTCAGTCTTTTCTGGTATGCTCTACTCAACATTCTCATATAAACTGAAACTCTTACTTTGACTAGACCACTTTAAGTAATATACATATTAATTAAAGTCACTTACTGATGGTCGGATGTTCATCGGGATATTTTTTTTATTTTAGCTACAATTCATGTTTTCATCAACGATATGTCATCCAGGATTGAAAGCAGCACATCAGCATCACATTTTTCAGGGTTAATGCGGGTCATTAAAAATCATTAAAAGTCATTAAATTATTTTTTAAATTAAGGCCTTAATTGGCATTAAAATTCATTAAATTTAATAATCGTGGCACTAAAATGCTTTGGAAAAGAAGCTTGAGGCGGAGAAAAGGATAGAGAATGGGGAAAATGCAAATTGGAACCAAAGTGGCGGGAAAACGAGGAACTTGGGACATGGCAGCAGCCTGTCCGTTGTGAAGATGATGAAGGATTTTGCCGTGTATGTATATATATATATATATATATATATATATATATATATATATACATATATACATATAAGTCATGGGTGTTTGTTGATGGCATTAAGATTTTTAGATCTTCAAAGATAAAACAATGATTTTCCTTCTATTGTAATGTGACAAAATGTAAAAACACCTTAAACGGTATGAAAGTCTTTTCTATGAATCAGTCAAAACTCACATTTCAGCTACTTTTCTTGTGGGGTTATAGCAGTAAACATTTTCAGTTTGAGAGGTAGGTCGTCTGTAGGAGCAGGTGGTCTGGTCCCGCCGTCCATAGTCGGCCCCGTAGACAGATATGACCTGTCCAACATCTGGATGAAAAGAAGAAAATCATTTCAAGAGGTGACAGTAATAATGTTTTAATCCTCATGTTTGTTAAATTCATTTATCTGTAAATGTATTAAGTGAATGAACATAATACTTACCGCAGTGCAAATGTGCATAGGAGTGTTCACATGTAACAACTTGAACTGTAAAAATGGACAAAATGAATCACGTCAATTTATAATAATGTTCAGCTTTGCAGTTATTAGTCCCACTGAGAGGTGACCTACTTGCTGGCAGGCAGGTGTAATTAGTCTCCACATACTTGGCGATGCCCTCGCATGGATCGGAGCTGCTAACATCGTCTGTGTTAAACTCACATACAGTCTTTCCATCACACCTGTTGACAGTTGAAGTATTTTAGTCTATTCATCAAAAGTGCAGTATAATAAATAAATATATACGAAAGTATTAAATATAAACACAAAATCTTTGACTCTGCAGCAGTTTGTCCATACTTAGCAATTTTTTTTGCACCTTTTATTAAAAGCAATTCCCTACTAATTAACCTATTCAACATATATTTTATGTTACATTGCTAGTAAATTTAGGATTTTTTAAATGGGTTAGGCTATATATATAGCATATAGAATATATATCTATATCTATAGACATATATATATTCCATTCCACTTTTTTCTTTAATGTTTTATTACTGTTGTCAATTTCAATGTAATTTTCTAACAACTGATTTTATTTTTTTATATATATATATATATATATATATATATATATATATATATATATATATATATATATATATATACAGTATGGCTTCTTTTAAAGGAAAACTAAACTCATTTTTTTACTTCTGTTAAAGTTAAACTGTTAACTGAGGTGTTATTAGTTTTACAAATTGCTTTACAAATTACATTCTTAAATTCACTTAAAGCACTTCGAATAGACTGTGTACTGAATTGTGCCATACAAATAAACATGCCATGCATTTAAATTTGCTTTTGCTGAAATTGTTTCATTGTATTTATTTGATTTGTTGAAGCTCACTATAAGGCCTCTCTTGTAATGTGTTATGCACGTTACATTTTCCCTACAATCACTTTTTCCACCTACTTTATTTTAGAGTTTAATTGGTACAACTCAAATTTTTCATTGGGTAAGATCTACTTTACCTCTGCTTGATTATATCCTCAGTGCCTTCTTGGGAGCACCCAGTATTGGCAAGCTGCTGAGGAGGCCTGCCCTCACTGCAGAGCTGAGTGTCTGCACGTCCATAGAGTGCTGACTGCACGCTGATCACACCATCATCTGTTAAAGACAACAGGACAAAAAGAAAGGTTTTGGACATAATAGAAATGATGTCTTTGCATCTAAAAAGGAGGAAGAGCAGCAGACTAAATGAGCTTTGAGAAAAATATTGCTGACAACAAACAGATGGAGATAAATTTGTTATTTTAGGGATTGTGGTTGAAAATTGTTTGTTTGTAGATGTAAAGGTTTTAGTCTTACCGCAGCTCAAACGCTGGATATTACCATGGCCATCACAGGTTACAGCCCTTTCAGTGAGAGCAACTGTAAAAACAGAAAATCTTATAAAATATTATTTACAAAAGTAATTTGACCTTTTTGTTAAAGCAATCCTTACCTGATGCCATGAGTAAGCATGCTGTTGCAAGCACTAGACAGAGAAAAAGGTGTCAGATTGTTCTGAAAATTAGGCTAATTTTACATCTACAGCAAGCCTATTATTAGTGAATACACATACTGTAAATACCTGCCCTTTGAAACTAACAGATAGCTCTCATTTATCACAGAAAGTTAATGCAATCAGGTACTTTTTGCACACCTGTTAATATAAATGTACTCACCCAGCGCAGAGCTCAGTCTAAAGTGCAGCATGGTTCAGAAGTTACAGTTTCAAGTGAGCAGTGTGAGCAAAACTGACACAAGACTACTATTTATGTTGCTGCATAAGGAGCAGAACAAAGGCTTGACCTTACGCAATTGGATTATATCCATCAGATTAAAAAAAATGTATAGTGTAATAGGGCCAAGGTAGTAAAAAAAAAAAAAAAAGAGGACAATGACTTGATTGTAATGTTGACAGTAAATGAGGTCATGGGTTATAGGTTTTTTTTGAAGGGTCACTCCCATTAAGGACAGCAGGAAGAATGAACGTTTCCTGTCTGGTAAGTGAAAAAAAGACAGTAAAGATAAAGTTATCATATACTACCATTACTGTTGGGGTTTTCCCTCTAAAACAAGCTCTTTGGGTTAGTCAACAATTTCCCATAATTGACATTTCCTACATTTACTTCCTTGAGGGAGTGTGTCAGGTTTATTCAGTGATGATTATAAAATTAATGTGTGCTTATGAAACATTTGAGCAAGGGGATGCTCCACTCCTGTCTCATGATCCAGTCAGGAGACCATCCTACCTTGTCATTCTGATGGTGCATTCTGTTTTCATGAACTTATCAATTGTTCTGTCAGAACAATACTCTGTTTGTAACCATGCGTCATGTTCTGTTAATAAACGCTCTGCAGAGGAGGTCCAGTGGGAGACGTATGAGTCTGGGGTTCAACTGTCTCTCCTTCCTGAAGGAATTATATCGATAAGTCTGTATTTCAGTTCTTCTTAAGAAAAAAAGGCACTCCTAAATATATTGTAATTATTTACTTAGATATACCTGTTTTTTCTAATTGAGAATAAATGAAATGGAATAAATGAAGAAAACTTGTAACTAAGACAAATATATTGTGAAGTAAATTAGTAGCTATGGTAAAAAATAGTCACTCCTGAAGTACCACTGTCCTACAGAGATGTCTCTCTGTAGCAGTGCACCTTATTTAAATAATTGCATGACCTCCTTAGCAGCTTTCAATTGCTGCACTGCCTTGTCTGTAAATCATTAATTCACATCAGTCAGGTACGTGGCAGCATGGAGAAATCTAAAACATGCAGAGCAGTGTAACTTGAGGACCAGGATTGAGAACGACTGCCCTACTCTACACTTTTTTCTACTGATTCTTGATTAGAACTGTATTTTTTAAGGATTATTGGATGTTCTTCTGCTGTAGTGGGCTTTTTAAAAATGTTTCAATCCTATCTAAATTGTAAAATAATTCAAAAAAATGACCTCCCTGAGATTGCAAACTGTAAAATTATCTTGTGCTTAAAGCCACACAAGATCATGGTTACCTTATTCATTTCATTTTAATTAAACGGATCCGTGATTAAATATTCTCAAACATTAATGCGGAAATCTAATGTCACAATTATCAAAGCTGGACAAAGGACATTCTTTTGAGGACCAGAATGTTCACATTTTGGACAAAGAAGACAGGCGGTCTGAAAGTGGTGTGAAGAAATCCATTTATGTTAAGATAGCAAAAACCTCAGGCTTCAGCTCTTAAAAACCCACAACACAGCAATAGAGTTTATTCTTTCCCTCTATCATAATTCTCATCGCCAGGCAGGGACCAAGACATCTCGCTTCCTTAGCCAGACCCCTTTCAGAGGCATATACCAGTATCAGTCTATGTCTCAACGACCCCCATTCCTAAGGTGCTGACCCTTTGTTCTGGTTTGCATGTTTTCTAAGCCAAAACAAGGCTTTGTTGGGCTACTCTATAAAAGTCTCAATGCTAATTCTGACATTTTGAACTGAAAAACCTTCCTGGATGGGAAGTGAAACGTCTTCGAAATTGGAAGGGAAAAAAAAAGTCCATCGGGTTTTTTTTTTTTTTTACTTTTTTTGGAATTATTAAAGCTACCTTTTTATCCTATAAATTAGGCTATTTGTTTATTTCTCTTCTCTCAGAGTTTAAACCTTCATACTATCTCATTTCAATATGCTCATTGATTTTTATTTTTGAAATAAGTAAACACTGATTTTTATTATATATGTTAATTCTCCATCAAATGTGTGCTAAATAATTTTTAACAATTATTCAATATGTTCCTTACATTTTAAATAAATCTTTTTCAAGTGGAAGGTTTTTGATGGAGGCTTTAGTTAAAATTATTTGTCCTGGGAAGTCATAACATTTCTCTGGCTTGGTGATATCCAGTGAGATTTGTTGAGCTTTGAAAAATTAAATCATTTAAAGAGCTTCAAAGGTGGAGTGCTGTTGTGGAGCAGTGGTTAGCACACATAACCCATGTATGTATGGAGGCCTTATTCCTCAACGCTGCTGACCCGGGTTCATATATATGTACTCGTACTCGTCATCTCCAGCTTTATCCGGAACCGGGTCGCGGGGGCAGCAGACTAAGCAGAGACTCCCAGACTTCCCTCTCCGCAGACACCTCCTCCAGCTCTGTCGTGGGAAGCCCTAGGTGCTCCCAGGCCAGCCGAGAGACTATGTCTCTCCAGCGTGTCCTGGGTCGTCCCCGGGCCTCCTCCCATTGGGACGTGCCTGGAGCACCTCCTGAGGAAGGCGTCCAGGGGGCATCCGAAGAAGATGTCCAAGCCACCTCAACTGACTCCTCTCGATGTGGAGGAGAACCGGCTCTACACTGAGCCTCTCCCGAATGACCAAGCTCCTCACCCTATCTCTAAGGGAGAGCCCAGCCACCCTGCGGAGAATGCTCATTTCAGCCGCTTGTATCCGGGATTTCGTTCTTTCGGTCATTATCCAGATTTCATGACCATAGGTGACGGTAGGAATGTAGACCGACCGGTAAATTGAGAGCTTTATATTTTCGCTCAGCTCTCTCTTTACCACGCAGACCTGTGCAGCATCCGCATTATTGCAGCAGACGCACCGATGCGTCTATTGATCTCCCGCTCCATTCTTCCCTCACTCGTGAACAGGACCCCAAGATACTTGAACTTCTCCACATGAGACAGGGACTCTCCTCCAACCTGAAGGAGACAAGCAAACCTTTTTTCGGTCGAGAACCATGGCCTCGGACTTGGAGGAGCTGATTCTCATCCCGGCAGCTTCACACTCGGCTGCGAACCGCCCCAGCGCACTTTGAAGGTCTTGGCAGGAGGGAGCAAGCAGAACTACGTCATCCGCAGAAAGCAGGGACGAGATCCACTGGTCCCCAAACCAGACCCCCTCTGGTCCTTGGCTGCGCCTAGAAATCCTGTCCATAAAAGTTATGAACAGGACCGGTGACAGAGGGCGGCCCTGTCGGAGTCCAACATGCACTGGGAACAGGTCCAACTTAATGCCGGCAATGCGAACCAGACTCCTGCTCCGCTTGTACAGAGAATGGATGGCCCCTAATAAAGGGCCCCCGACTCCATACACCTGGAGCACCCACAGGGCAGCACGAGGGACACAGTCGAATGCCTTCTCCAAGTCCACAAAACACATGTGGACTGGTTGGGCAAACTCCCATGAACCCTCAAGCACCCTGCAGAGGGTGTAGAGCTGGTCCACTGTTCCACGGCCAGGACGAAAACCACACTGCTCATCCTGTAGCCGAGGTTCGACAATCAGCCGGACTCTCCTCTCCAGCACCCTGGCATAGGCCTTTCCGGGGAGGCTGAGAAGTGTGATTCCCCGATAGTTGGAACACACCCTCCGGTCCCCCTTCTTGTGAAGGGGAACCACCACCCCAGTCTGCCAATCCAGGGGGACTGTCCCCGACCTCCACACGATATTGAAGAGACGTGTCAGCCATGACAGCCCAACAACATCCAGAGCTCTAAGATACTCAGGACGGATCTCGTCCACCCCCGAAGCCTTGCCACCGTTTTGGAGTTTTTTGACCACCTCGGTGACTTCAGCCTGGGTGATGAACGAATCCAGCCCCAAGCACCACGTCTCTTCTTCCCCCACGGAAGGCGTGTCTGTCGGGTTGTCAGCTTCACTAACACTGAAAACAGTGTTAGTGAAGCACTGCTTTTCCCCTCCGGAGGCGTCGGATGGTTTGCCAGAATCGCTTTGAGGCCAACCGATAGTCTTTTTCCATGGCCTCTCCGAACTCCTCCCAGGCCCGAGATTTTGCCTCTGCAACCGCCCGGGCCGCGACACGCTTGGCCTCACAGTACCTGCTTGCTGCTTCAGGAGTCCCACAAGCCAGCCAAGCTCGATAGGACTCCTTCTTCAGCTTGACAGCATCCCTTACTATCGGTGTCCACCATCGGGTTCGGGGATTGACACCACGACAGGCACCGCAAACCTTACGGCCACAGCTACGAGCAGCCGCATCGACAATAGAGGCAGAGAACACAGCCCATTCGGACTCCATGTCTCCAACCTCCCTCAGGACCTGAGAGAAGCTCTCCCGGAGGTGGGAGTTGAACACATCTCTGACGTGAGGGTTCCACTAGACATTCCCAGCAGACCCTCACTACTCGTTTGGGCCTGCCGAGTCTTTCAGGCTTCCTCCTCTTCCAGCGTATCCAACTCACCACCAGGTGGTGGTCGGTGGACAGCTCCGCCCCTCTCTTCACCCGAGTGTCTAAGACAGGCGGCCAAAGATCAGAAGATACGACTACAAAGTCGATCATCGACCTTCGGCCTAGAGTGTCCTGGTGCCAAGTGCACCGATGGACATCCTTATGCCTGAACATGGTGTTCATTATGGACAATCCGTGACTTGCACAGAAGTCCAATAATGAGACACCACTTCAGAGCTGGGGGCCCGTTCCTCCCGATCACGCCCCTCCAGGTGTCACTGTCATATCCCACATGGGCGTTGAAGTCTCCAAGTAGAATGATGGAATCCCCGGGAGGGGCACTTTCTAACACCATCCCCAGGGATGCTAAGGAGGCCTGGTACTCCGTACTGCCGTTCGAAACAACTGTCAGAGTCCTCCCTTCAACCCAAAGGCGAAGAGATGCGACCCTCTCGTCTACCGGGGTGAACTCCAACACGAGACTGCTGAGCTGGGGGGAAACAAGCAGCCCCACCCCCGCCCTCCACCGCTCCCCGCTGGTCACTCCAGAGTAGAAGAGAGTCCAGCCTCTCTCAAGGAGCTGGGTTCCAGAGCTCTGGCTGTGTGTAG